AAAAAAAAAAAAAAAAAAAGGAAACAACCCCTAGCCCCTTCAGCAATAGCCCATGTAAATGTTGCTGTCACAGGCCAAACTCACTCACCCATAGTATTAGAAGTCAGTATAGTGGTCACCTGTGAGTTGGAAAGCTTGGAGCACTGATGATAACCTCTCTTGTTTTGGTGCTAGTTATAGGGGTGTCCACCATCTGAAGTTTCCTTGGACTGTACAGTGAGATGTGTGTGACACTTCTGTGTGTACATTCTACTTCAGCAGAATGTTTTACAGAGTTGCTGTTTATCCTTCCAGACATCTTTTCCTGATACAGAGACTGAATTGCACATTTTCTTTAAGTCACTTGCGCGCAAGTGACTTACTGAGGGCTATGGTCTCAAGGGAAGCCTGTTGGGGAGCAAGGGGAGCTGAAGAGGGTAGGAGAGAGAGGCAGAAGGGTTGGATGGATGCCCAGCCTCAGTCTGATCCCACCAGGAGCCCTACAGTGTGGATAGAGGGCTGTCCTCCTCTGAACCGGTGGGGCGGCTTTTCATACCCCATACAGTCCATATTTGGGTGTGGATGCCCTGGAGGGTGAGTTCACCTCCCAAGTAATTCTCTAGGAAGGTGAATCTTGTTAGCAAAGGGCATTACTTAGGGCAGAAGGGGCAACCATAGACATAAACTGTAAACCATACCGCTAGCAGCCAATACCCCTAGCATCCGGAGGACAGCTGTACTGACTTGGAAAACAGGAACAAAGGGGAACTGAGTGAAGCATGCATGGGTCTGTTTCATGTGGTGTGTGTGAAATTGTTGGATTTCAGATGACCTGCAGTGATGACATTTTCTTAATTTTATCGTCTTGCGTTTTGAAATTGAAGTGTAATTATTTCCAATAAAATGCACAGATCAGAAAGTGCTGACATGTGTACACCTGTATAACCTACACCCCAATCAAGATACTGAGTGTTGTCATCATTCTAGAACATTCTCTCATTTTCCCTTCTGGTCAATCTCACTTCCCTGCCCTGGAGGCAACTATGGTTCTTTACTTCTACTCCCATGGATTAGTTTTGCCTGCTATTGAACTTCATCTAAACTACATACATAGTTATTTTATTTTATTTTATTTTAAAGATATAGGGTACAATTCAGGGATAGGTATACAAATGTTCGTTTTGCAGGTGCCCTTGTTAATGAAGTGTGCCCCCCCTCCCCTGGCAGTTTCCCTCAACTACCAATCCCACCCCCCCGTCCCCTGGCAGTTTCGCATTATTGCCAATCCCTTTCTTATAGTATTATTATGCATACATAGTTTTCAACCCCCCCAAGGAGATTATGACCAAATTATTATTCTGCCATGTGATGTTTTAACTTGATATATTCCAGATAGTCTTCTATGTTAATGCATACTGATGATCTGGATTCTTTTTCAAATTTACTTTTTACTGCTGCTGAGTTTGGTTGTGTCAGAGCCATTTCCTCAGCTGGTGGATGGTTAGGCTGCCACTACAGTCATTGCTAAGAAAGGCAAGGATACAAGGAATGTTTGTTTGCTTGGCCCAATTTTGTGTGGCATTGGTTATGAGGAACCTTACAAAAACCCACATTCTCTGGTCCTACCTGAGATGCACTGAATCAGAAAATCCAAGAGGAACTCCCAAGATATTTCAAAAACAACCCCACAAGTTTCTGACACTTGGACAGGCTTGGGAACTGCTTACTGGTTCATTGTCTCCAAGTTGTAAAGGGAGATATGAAATGCAATGGCATCCAGGGGGGTAGAAAGAGGAATTGCTACTTTTTCGCAGATTAGAAATGTAAAGTCCATCAATGATTTATAATATATTTTAACATCTCATAGTATGTGTCCCTTCCGTTTCTCTTCTTTTTCAGGATTTTTTTTCATTGTTCACCACTGTCAAGCTTTCCATAACTCATTATGTCATGTCAATTCCCCAAACTTCCATGATATTTTAACAGCAATTGCACTAAACTCATTGTTAATTTGGAGAACTGTCATTGTTAAAAATTCTGTCTTCCCACTCTTCATCATGATCTGTCTTTCCATTTGTTCATTCACTTGACAAATATTTGTAGAGCTCATACTCTGTGCCAGTTGCTGTTATGGGTGATGGAGAAACAGTAGTGAATGCAGCAAAGTCTTTACCTTAACGGTGCTGACAGTGCCATTGGGGAAAAAGACAAAAATCATATATAGCATGCCATGTGGTAATAAGGGCATGGAGAAGAAGAAAGTTGGGCAAAAGGCATGGGCGGTGCGGCATCTGTGTTTGGGTTGGAGAGGGTGTGCTGTTTTAGATAGAGTAGTAAGGGAAGGGTTTCCAAAGGAAGTGACAGAGAATACCTTAAGGGTGTCTGAGGGAAGGGCATTCCAGGCAGAAGAAAACAAAACTGCAAAGGCTTGGGGGTTAGTGTGGCTGGAATGAGGAAGGCAAGGAATGACTTCAACTTTTGAAAGGACACTCTGGGTGAAGAAGAAATGAAAGGGATTATCAGGATGAGAAACAAGAGTCTATAGCAGAAGTCCAAGAGAGATGATGGTGGCTTTGCCCAGGGTTGCTGTAGTGGAGTGAATGGAAGTGGTCAGATTCTGGATATGTTTTGAAAGTAAAGCCAACAGCATTTGCTGATGTCTTAAATATGGGTGCTGAGAGAAATTGAGGGGCCCAGGAAGCCACAGTTGGAGGCTTGCAAGGGCCTAGAGGAGTGGAAAACTGCATGAGACCTTTTGGTAGGGGGATGGGTATTAGGATATTTGTTTGGGACATGTAAAGCTGTTGATGTCCATTAACAAACAGTGAGATATATAGTTGGGAATTCAAGAGGGGGTTTAGTTCAAGAAATACACACACATATGCACACACACACACACACATACCTTTTTTGGGGGAATCATTAGAGTATAGATGGTATTTTAAAACTGTGAGGCTTTATATACCAATGAAATTTTGAAATTTTTATTCCATTAATCTGAAATTTCATCTGACAGTGTATTAGGTATGCTACTTTCTTTTGTATATTTATCTTATATCTAGCTGTGTTATTGTGTAGTTTTCAATTGAAACCCCTTTTCTGTTGATATGCCATTTCATTTCCAACTATATAGTCACATATCATGCAAGTAACAGTGGTGATCCCTTCTTTCCCAATATTTATTCTTTTATTTTTTGTTTCAGGGCTTTGTGGAGTGGTCAAAAGCGCGACACACAACCATAGTCTTGGTAATGGGTGTGCTTTTTTTGTTCTTAGTTTTAACAGGAATGCCTACGATGTTTCACATTTAACTTATAATGCTGGCTGTTGTTTTGAAATAAATGCCCTGTGTCATGTTAAGGAAGTGTGTCAGTTAAAAATCAGGAATGGGTATTGAATGTTATCAAATGCCTTTCAACATCCTTTGAAATAATTTTTTTTTAACTTTTTGGTGTGAAATTTCACATTACTGTATTTCATTGAAATTAAGACATTATTGATTATAAAACACATATTATTTTGCATACAACTGAGAAAACTGCTAATGAGTTGTAAGATTCCACCCTCTGGAAGATGCCTCCTGACTTCAAAGAAGGTGAAGAAATGTGCAAGTGAGCATCAATGAAAAACGGGTAGATTTCCCAATATAAAATCTACTTTGCATTTTTAAGGCTGTGGTGCACCAGTCTTTTCATGTACTGAATTCTATTTCTTGATATTTTGTGTAGGATTCTTACCTCTATTTTCACATGTGAGATAGGTGCTATCTTTGTGAAGTTTTGGTATCATGACTAAACTTATTTAATGGAAAGACTTGAGTAACTTTCACCCTTTTAAATGTTTTTGAATAGTTTCTGTAGTTTGAAAGGAATCAATCACTTGACATTCTATAATAATTCACTAGTAAAGTAATCAGGCCCAAGAGCCATGAAGGGGAAGTTTCAGCTAATTCTTGAGCAGCTTTCTCAGTTTTTTCTAATATTATCAGTTTATTAATACTTTTTACATCTTGCATTCCTTTAGATGATTTATAGAGTTCTTTTATCACCTAGAATAGTCTTCATTCCATAGAGCTTTTCAGATTATTAGCTTAATTATGCATATTTTTATAGTTATGCATATATTTATAATTTTTAAAAATCTCTTTATTTTGTTCTATTCCTTTTATCTTTTCAACTTCTATTTGTGGTTTACTCTTTGTTAGATTTATAAAAGGTTTATCTAGTTTATTCTTGCTTTTCCAAAGAACCAGCATTAGTTTTTATTTATATCCATTATTTCTCTTATTTGTAATTCATTTTCCTCTAATATGTATTGAATTTATTATTATTTTTATTCCTTGTCTCAGTTTTTAAGTTGAATACTCGATTTATATTCCCTTTATGGTTTCTATAATAATACACTCAGTTATACAAATGTACTTCTGGACATAGCCTTTGCCACATCTTAAAGTTTGATTATTTGTGCTCTTGTTTAGGAAGTTGTCTAAATAATATGTAGTAGTGCTTCTAATGAGTGCTTTGAAATCTGTGATTTGATTTTTTTTTTTGTTTTCTCTTTTTTACTGTGCCGTGAACAGAGAATGTGACCTATAATCTGCTTCCAAAGCATTTTTAAGCTTTTATTGTGTCCTAGAATGTCTAACTTTTGTAATTCTCTCATTAACATTTAATTTGAATATGTATTCTCTGTCTATAGAATTCAAAACTCTATATGTCTGTTAATTAACTCAGCCTCATCAATTATACTGTTCAGATTCATGTGTTATTTAATTTTGGCCTACTCTGTTTTGTCAAAAACCAATAAGGTTATGTGAAAACCTGTTAGCACAACTGTTTTTGCTGAAATGTTTTCATAATCTTTGCTTTATTTATTCAACAGCTGTGTAGTTTGATGCATATAAGTACAGCATTATGTCTTTGCCAATTAAATAATATACGTAAAACACCAAGCACAGTGCCAAGGATATGGTAAGCACACAATAAATGTTAGTTAACGCTTGATTCTGAATTCTTTGTTAAATATAAGATGACTGTCTTTAATCAATTTAATCATCTGCCTTAAAATTTACCTTGTCTAGGCCAGATGTGGTGGCTCACACCTGTAATGTCAGCACTTGAGGAAGTGGAGGGAGAGGCTTGCCTGAGCCCAAGGGTTCGAGACCAGCCTGGGCAACTTGGCGAGACCTGTCTCTACAATAAATAAAAGAAATTAGGCCGGGCATGGTGGCTCAAGCCTATAATCCCAGCACTTTGGGAGGCCGAGGTGAGAGGATTGCCTGAGTTCAGGACTTCGAGACTAGCCTGGGCAACTAGCTAAGACCTCGTCTCTACATTATATAAAAAAATAAGCTAGACATGGTAGTGCACGCTTGTAGTTTCAGCTACTTGGAAGGCTGAGGCAGAAGGATCACCTGAGCCCAGTGGGTTAGCGCTGGGGTGACCGTGAGCATTCCACCTCCCTCCAGCCTGGGTGATGGAGTGGGACTCCAACTCAAAAAAATAAATAAATAAAAATAAAATAAAAAATTAGCTGGGCATGGTAGCACATGCCTGTAGTTCCAGCTACTTGGAGGGCTGAGCATGCCAGTGCTCTCCAGCCTGGGCAAAACAGTGAGACTCTGACTCAAAAAAAAAAAAGTACCTTGTCTAAAACTGGTTGATACTACCCTCCTGCTCTTTTAAAAATTCCACTGTCTATGCATGTGAGGTTCTCTATAGATACTAGCTGGGAAACATATGGGATTCTTTCTCCATTCCTCTCTCAGACTCATTGCATCCAACAAGCAGCTAAGCCCTAAAAGAGAGGAACACAGGCCTCAACCGTCACAGTTGGGATTTTGTTCATTGCAATTAAGGAAAACTCAATTCAAATAAACGGAAGCCAAGAAAAATTAATTACTGGTTCATGAAACACCAAAGTTTGAGATGAAGTCGGCTTCATGTATAGCTGGCTCTGGGGACCCCAAGACTTCACTGGGGCGTTCCCTCTCCTCACAGGCATGCCCCTTCCGATGGCTGCCATCCGCCCCGTGACCCCCTGGGATGCCCCCTCCCCAGATGCTCACGTGGCTCCCTTCAGGGACGCCTCCCCAGCCACCCTCACGCAGCACCTGCCTCGGGGGGGGGGGGGGCGGC